AGGAAGCATCTTGTGATTTCATTGCCTCCTCAAGAGAGTTAGGATCCTCCTCAACACTATAGCAATATAGTGTTTGAGTTTCAAGGGTCTCTCTTGATCCCTCAACCAAATACAATTGAAAATTAGGACCAAATGACTTTTCTTTTCTAGCCCTCTTACTCCGTCTAATTTCAGGCTCATTTTCATGACCCTTTTCCAGTTCATGAAAATTTGAATTACTTGGACCGAGATCAACATTTTTTGGATTAGGAATAGAAGTGAACCGCTTCTCATCGAAAAGAGCATCCCTAGACTCAATAACGGTATGAACCGCAATTGAGTCATTCGGTTCAACAACATAGAATCGATATGATTTGCTATGTTCAGCATATCCAATAAATAAGCACTCTATCCCCTTTTCACCTAACGTTTTTCGTTTAGGTTCCGGTAATCTCACGATTGCCCTACAACCCCATACCCTAAGATAACTTAGTTGGGGTGTTCTTTTGTGCCAAAGTTCATATGGGGTTATTTTATTTCTCTTGTTAGGAACTCGATTAAGAATATAACAAGCAGTTAACATAGCATCACCCCAAAAGCCATCACTTAAGCCCGAATTAGACAACATGGAATTAACCATTTCTTTTAAAGTTCTATTCTTTCTTTCAGCTATGCCGTTTTGTTGCGGCGTGTAAGGGGCTGTTGTTTCATGGATTATTCCAACGGATTCAAAAAATTTAGGCTCATAATATTCTCCTCCTTTGTCAGTTCTAAGCCTTTTTACTTTCTTTCCGGTTTGTAACTCAACTTTCGTTTTAAAAACTCTGAATTTATCCATTGCCTCATCTTTTGAATATAAAAGGTATATGTAACAATATCTTGTGCAATCATCAATAAATGTGACTACATATTTTTTATTTCCAAAAGAAGGAGTGCTATGGAAATCACACAAATCACTATGCACTAATTCAAGCATGTTGGATTCTCTTTCAACATTTTGAAAAGAATTTCTAGTGATTTTGTTTAACATGCAAGTTCTACATTTTTCTATGTTCATATCAAAAGGAGGAATTAAACCTACTTTAGACATGCCACTTAGTCTACGATAATTAACATGACATAACCTATTGTGCCACAAAAAAGAATCACAAACCATATAAACAGAATTAAGAACTTTATTTACAACACTTAGTTTGAACATGCCATTACAATAGAAACCTTGGCCAACAAATACACCACCTTTAGATAAAATAAACTTATTTGCTTCAAAGCTAAGTTTAAACCCAAAGTTATTTAGGATGCCACCGGAGACAAGATTTTTCCGGATTTGTGGTACAAAGTACACATCATTAAGAATTAATTTTTTTCCGGAAGTTAATTCCAACTCTACTTGCCCAATTCCTTGAATTTGCACAGTAGAGTCATTTCCCATGTATAAGATTGGCCCCTCTTGCAACTCTTTTAAAGTCTTAAAAGCTTGCCTATCTTTACATACATGCCTTGTGGCTCCGGTGTCGATCCACCAAGATTGATCATCCTGCACAACACAAATTTCAGAAAGCATAGCTACAAAAATCATGTTGTTGTCAACATTATTTGTAACTACAAAAAGATTCTGACCTTGGTTGTCTTGGCCACCGTTTGGATGGCTGTTCGGTTGGGCCTTCTTCTTCTTCACCTTCGGGCAGTCCCTCTTGAAATGTGGACCACCACATTCCCAACAAGAGCCTACTTTCTTATCTTTCGGCCTCTTTTGAAACTTGGAACCTTTGGTGAATTTTCCGGGACGTTTTTTATTTTTCTTAGTCCCACTTGACTGTCCCTCCTCCATAACATTTATAGAGGAATTTGGAAGATCATTCTTTTTACCATTGTCACCTTCACGCAACTTAATGCCTTCTTCAATTTGAAGTCGGCGACCAAGTTGTTCCATTGACAAATCCTCTTTTTTGCGTTTGAGGCTATTTTTCACTTCCTTCCATGAAGGTGGTAATTTGTCGATTATAGAATCGACCGCAAAGGTTTCATTAACATGCATGTTATGAATCAAAAGTTGATCATATAAACGCCGAATCTCATGAAATTGCTCCATGACCGGACGTGAATCCACCATTTTGTAACTATTAAAGTTACTAATGAGAAATTTCTTACTTGAAGCATCCTCGGTCATATATTTAGATTCTAGAGATTCCCACAGCGTTTTAGCATACTCAACATTTTGATACACATCAAATAGAGAATCACACATACCGTTCAAAATGTGCCCACGACAAATGTAGTCGTCATTATCCCACTTTATGCGGCGGCGGCTTGTCTCCAAAGACTCGTTTTCTTCTTCCTCGGGTGGCCTTGGGGTGCTCAACACATAGACCACTTTCAAAGTAGTGAGCAGAAAATGCATCTTTTTCTGCCACCTTCGAAACTCCACACCTTCAAACTTTTCCAATTTTTGAAAATTGGTGTTGATATCACGTTGCGTAGCGGCCATATTTACGGATTAGTAAACTTTTAGATTGTTAGAACTTGAGGATATAAATAGTAGATTATATAAGGATGTAGAAATATGACTAGACCGGATATCACTTCTAGTCACGTATCAAATACGCTTTCCTAAAAGTTTACTATCTACCCTTATTACAATAACCGGGTTACAAGATAGAACTTTTGGGATAAAAAGAAGGTGTATGGTGTATTTTAGTTACCGATAAAATAACACCGAACAAGTGATTTGTATATAAAATTGTCTAAACACTTTATTACTAATACTGCAGATAATAGTAATAAAGTAAGGCAATGAGAAATAATTAACAAAATACTTTTTTTTTATATCATCCTAAATTCAACACGGTCCTCATCCCTATTTATAAATAAATTGGTTGCATGGCAGTTAAGACAACCAAGAACCAAGCGGTGCATCAATTCCAAAAGAACATGAACATTCTTTTTAAAACATTTTAATATAATAAAAGATTTGCAATTATCCACTAAAATGCTGTAAACGGCATTTTAAAATGCAACTTTTAAATTACGTATTTGAAATTAGTACAAATGATAAGAAGAAGATAAAATGATTTTATTATAATTATATGAGAGCACGCTAGCACAAAAGTGTTCTCATAATTATAATAATAATCATTATACTTAAATAAATCATTTTAATAAATCACATCATTTATTTATAAAATGATTAAGGACCATGTAATATATATCAATCAATTGAGCTTCATTTCAATAAATCTCCAACAAATAGAACCGTGACTAACTAGTCACGCACCAAATCCGTGACTACAGGCGATTTTTTTGTAGTGTGCACATAGTAATATTTTTATATCTTTAACATTGGATTATTTAAGTTTTAAGAAATTACCATAAAATATGCAAGAAAATGTGTAAATTCCAAAAGAGGAGTACTATATTTTTTATTCTTATTTTTTTTTTGTACTATATTTTTATTTTATTAGTAAAATTAGTTACCACCACATTTTGAAAAATATTGTCACATATGGTAGTATGTAAGTAACATTTTTTTAAACTTGACAATAATTAATCATATGTCGAGAATAAAAATACAGCATGGAAATCTTAGAATTTCAAAATGTTTTACTCATAATTGTGGAATTTTCCTTTACTTCAAAAGTTAATTTATAGTTATGATCTGATATTTTTCACTTTTTCTTAACAGATGCACACAATAGTTAATATTTTTCACTTTGCCAACTTTCCTTTTTTGGTTGTCCCAAAAAACTTTGTCACTTTACTATTAAAACAACTACTTTGTTGTTCTGCACATTTCTCTCTCCTCTACACAAATCTCAACCACACAGTTTTTGCTATCTTATTTCTCACCTACTTTGCACTTGACAAAGTCCATCGGGACGGAGGTAGTATATCTTAGTTTGTATCCATATACTAGTGTCTTTTACGCGCCATGCACGACTGAGTTCATGACCAATATAATACTACCTTTGTTCTTAAATAAGTGCAAGATGTTGAGTTTTACACTATTCACATGGTCTATTTGACTACATTTTATTTATTAATGTATTACGGACTAATACATTGTTTTGTAAAAACATTGTTAAATTTGTCTCATTCTGAATTTTCAAAATCTGATTTTTTAAATTTTTTTAGTAGTAGTAGGGAGTTATTCACTCCCTCCATCTCGAAATGAAGTTCTCGATTTGATCTACACACATATTTATGTAAGGTAGAGTTTTGTTTTGACCTTCCAAATTTACTCTTACTTTATGTCAAATCAAGACAAAAGTGGGTAAAAAGTAAGGATAGTTGTGACTTCTAGGATAAAAGTAATTTCCTTTTATAGAAATGAGAACTTCATTTTGGGACATCCATAAAAGGAAAGTGAGAACTTCTTTTCAGAATAGAGGTAGTATATTAATGGTCAAAGTTGTGAATCGACAAATGCGCAAAGTTGATCGTTGCACTTATTAAAGAACAGATGAAGTATGTGTAATATAGTAGTGTCGCTGACGTGTAGGATTTTGGATGGCTAGTTCTCAACCACCAAATCTGCTGCATTCAATGATGTTCCCGCCAGTATCTTGTTTTCCCGCCATAACCTCGGCCGAGCGTCCTAATGGGCCACGTTGGGGGATCCTTGATGGGCCAAGGGTGAGCCTCCGTTCGTATTCGCTGTGGGCGGACGAGCGTTCTCTCTACGGTCAGTTTGGGTTCACTGGTGTGAAGGGCATGGATCTGCAAGGCCCTTACTAATCACTTTGGCCGAGGCCCTATAACGCTATCTGGTCTGTATTAAGCAAAAGGCCTATGGATCCGATCATCTACCAATTTGGTTACAGATGATCTCAAGGTCCTAAGTGTAATGGCCGATCTGTACTGGACCTATTAACCCAACAGCTCCTAACTCTTGTCGACTATTATAAGATTTTATAAGATTTAACTTATGTGGGATAGCTTAATGATGCCTTTTTTCTTGCCTTGAATAATGATGCCATTATTCTTTGTGCATAGTATTTTGTGATTCTTACAATTAAATAACGTTAAGAGTATTTAAAGTTTGTGAGTTTATTTTTATTTTATTAAATGTTGTGCAACTTTTATATTACACTATGTGCAAAGTATCATAAGAAAAACATAGGAACACATATTTACACCACAAATACAAGTCACAAATAATTTCCTTGTTAATTAGCACAATTCTAAGAGTAAAAAGTAGACGCCAATTTTTTTTCTTCAATCAACTCATCTGCACTTGCACGCATCTTTGTCCTTGAAAATTCACTGATCTTGAGACCTGCGTCATTAATACAATAGACACCACTATTAACATTGCATATTTGAAGTGATACGCACATGCATAGAGCAGATCCGTCAATTCCTTTGAGGGGTCAAAGTTTTGTAAAAAAATCCAACCAAGAAAAAGTATATGATATGTTGGATTGTTGTCACGAAAATAGAAAGACATTTGGTTCCTTCTTTTGTAAGAACTAATCATAATATTTGGAGTACTAAATAATGTAATTTATTTATTTAATTACTAATTCTGAATTAAACATATGTTCCTTTAAGAGATTGTGTTTACATAAGTAGTGCAGGACTTCTATATTGTTTCAAACGCTACTTTGTGTACCATGCTTGAGGCATACATACTAAGTAGGCAACCCATAACTGGAGTGATCCACTTGAGCCAATATTCAAAACTTTATAGTTACAAATTTATATTTAAAGAAAGATCAACATAGTATTTGCAAATTAAAAGTGACGCTTTTCGAAGTGCCTGGTACTATATTTTGGTGACATGTCACTCTTAAGCGTTGCTGGGCTCTACTTTTGATAAGTGATTAATTAAAGTGATTATATAAAATGCGTTTAAAACTAAAAGTTAGTAATGTTGGATAAGAAAACCGACTTTGAAGTAGTAAAAGTTTGAGTGCTTCATACACAAACATTTTTTGTGTAGTAAAAAGTTGACAAACGTACACTATAAAATACATATCCATTTGATTCTAACTTTTAGCTTTAAAACACATAATTTACGAGAAAAGATGTATGAGAATGCTACTTTTAACTTTTTTGAAGTTAAAAACTGAAAATCACTTGTCTAAGCAGATGAAAAAACTTCCTAATAGACGCAGTTATGAGTGTCTAACTAATTAGTCCAAAAATTTATTGATATGTAAGGTTGGAAGCTAGTAAGGAGAATTGACCTTTCACAATTGACCATTCTCCGTTCTTGCAAGTAACCGGAAAAGAATATATTAAATCCAACGACAAGTCATAAGAACCATCAGAATATACTCCCATTGAAACACATGTATCCTGAAAAAATTACCCACATCCATGAACTTAGCATAAGAACTTGAGAAATCACAACAAAGATCAAGACGTGTTTGGCAAATGGAACCGAACTGGATTAGATGAAAATATACTTTGAATAAACTGAACAACTTTAATGACCTATGTTGCATTAAATTGCGTGACTGTGACCCTAAAGTTTAGATCTAAAGGACCAGAAAAACACAGTTATATAAATGTTAACACATAAAAATGCTAGGCATAAAAGAAGTTTCATCATATTGAAACTAGAACTTCATATGGCGAATGGTATACTGAACCCTACTAATAATTGAGGACACCGTATCTATAATGCATTTAATCGCTCCATTTTCACCATTTGTTTATGTTTGAACTATCAAATTGTAATATTCAAATTGGTTTACATATACAGGGTATAATTCCTTGAGGCTACCATACAATTTGCCATATAATAGAGGCGAATAATGTTCAGTATGGAAATCTCTTGTGCCAAATAAGCTTTGACATAAAGAAATGCATCAATGAAAATTTTCAACCTTTGGGGTGCCGAGAACCCAATCGTGTATATGGTCGCATGCTGCGCTTGCAGCAGATAGTGCACTAGACGCCTTTCGAGCTTTAATAATCGCTTCTCCACGATGTCGTACCATCTTTATGAACTCTGTGTTAAGCCTATAAGATAATCTTCTAAACCATTAGCCCATATTACTTTGATGTGTAAATTGTTACCTTTCCAATGTGACTATATATGTAGCCAGAGTAATTAATTAATTTATTACCATTGATCATTTGCTACAATTTCTTTGACGATCTTCTCCCCTCTTGGTGTTTTTACAATGGCGTGATTGGCATCAGGGTATTGAGTTGAAGAATGGTTTCCCCATATGATTACATTCTTTACATCATCTGTGTAAACATTTAGTTTCTCTGCAATGTTGGCCAAGGCTCTGTTGTGATCAAGCCTGGTCAGGCAGGTGATGTTTTTTGCAGCAATTTGAGGTGCAAAGTTTTTCAAAATGAGAGCATTGGTGTTTGCAGGGTTAGCAATTACCAAGACCTGTTTAAAGAAGACACACACTACAAGTTACTTTATCTGTCCAATAAAAAATGTCAAAGAATTTGTCTCACACACATGAAATTGATAAGAGTAATAAAACATTATATAAGATACTCTGTTAAATCTTAAGATGAAATGTAATTGTTAGTAAAACTATTAAAGAATTGTTAAGCATCACTTAAATATGAAACTAGCAAAGAACGTATTGGATTTTGATCTCTATATTCTCCCTATTAGATTAGTACGTATAGTATGCCAATATTTTTTGGGTAGTCTCAATAATATAAAGTTTATTATAGTTCAATCAAATTGACCTTACCTTACAATTAGAAGCGGCATGTTTCCCCAAGGCTAAGCCGTGAGACTTAAAAATGGGCACATTTTTTGACATAAGTTCATTCCTTTCCATCCCTTCTTTTCGTGGAAACCCGCCAGCCATTATCGCAATATTAACCCCCTTGCATGCCTCATTTGCATCTATTGTTGCCACCACACCTGTATAGGCACAAGAATTGGTATGAGATTGGGAAGTAATATCATTTGGGAGCTTCTTAAGTGGTAGTTATTAGAACATAGGTGATAATGACTGACCTTTGAGGAGAGGAAAAGCTGAATCAATCAATTCCATTTTGATTGCATCTAAGGCTTCAATATAAACATCAAGCAAATGTATAATGACTGGTTGATCGGGCCCTAACATGACTCCCCTAGCAATCATAGGAACAAGAGCATACCCAATTTGCCCTGCCACCACCCCATGTTTAATGTCAGCCAATTAAATGGTTCGAAGTCAATATAATGTTGTAAACTATATTAAAAGCGGTAAATGCCTTAGGCGGCGCACAATCAAGGTGAGTGTAATGTGTATGGGGTAATTAACAGTAGTTAGTCAAGGGTAGTTTCTTAAAGCTTAAAAAACTTTGTTCTAACAATTGGGCTCGGCGCTAAGTTGTTGCCGGGTGCCCGTATTTCCAGGGGCGGATCTAGCATTTCCATTGAGGTGGGGCCAAAATTTAATTGGAAAATGCTTAGTGTACATGAGTTGTACACAAACTGTACACAAAACCTCCCTAATTGCCTATGTACACAGACAATTCATTTAGAAAAGGGTAGAATTTGATACCCAATTGCCTGTGTACACAGGCAATGTACACATTTTGTGTACATCTTGGGTACACCAAGCATGGTTGAATTTAATTACATAACGTATATTGCAAAAAATGTCAAAATGACAAAATGTACGTAGTTAAATAATATTACAGAAATGTCAAAGAAAAAATAAATATTGGTGAACCGACAATTTAATTATCTTAAAAGAGCCATAGATACCGAATCGAAATTGGTTCGGTTACTGAAATGTTCGGTACCAATTTTCAAGTTGATTTCTTGAAAATCAATTTTGTTTTGACTCCATAGTCTATGCTCTTTGTAAAAAAGTAAACTAATTAAATTTCACCCACCAAACACAATGAACTGAACTAATTAATTTTTCAGATCAATATTTAAATTCCAATGAACTGAACTAATTAATTTTTCAGACTAATTTTCAAAATTCTAATGAATCGAACTAATTTATTTTTCAAGCCAATATTCAAAAGTCCAACGAAGTGAACTAATTAATTTTTCAGGCCTATAACGAAAAGCCCAATAAATTGACCTCATTAATTTTTCAGACTAATTTCAAAATCCCAATGATTTGAGCTATTAATTTTTTAAAAAGTCCAATGTATAAAACTGATGGAGATCGAGTTGAAGGAATAATCCTCCTCTTCTTCCGTGTGGGAAAAAAGAAATTTTGGACAGAAAAATTGAAAATTTTAAAACATTAAACACGAGGTCTTAAAAAATTTGGATAGTGTATCAAAAAATTTACTCATGTTGCTTTAAAAAATTATTATAAACAACAGTGTACAGGGAGTCGAAATCGACTCCTTTTGTAGCTGCTCATTGTGTCTCCAAGGGACCAATATTACTAGTGTTCAATATTCGACATTAGCTTTTAATATACCGGGAGCTACTGAAACAAGTAATATATACATAATACATATATACTACGAGTAGTAATTATATACTGTACGATAGTAATTTTTAGCGTGGGCCTGGGCCCTCCTTGGCAATGGGCCAGATCCGCCGCCCCTGCGTATTTCTATGTAATCCGGCGCCTAAGCAGGCTAGACAGTGCCCATGCCGCATTGAATAGATGTGTCAATGTTCGATCTAATTTTCTCTACTTTATACTAAAAGTAAAGCATTATTTGATCTACAATTATTCTATCCCTATTAAATTTATTTTAAGACTCCAATAAAAATAACGGGTATTAGCCCTTAGTAGGACTAAAATAAGTCCAAAATTCAACAATAGGAGTACAATTCTTTTATTCTCAAAATAGGACCAATATATGTCTCTTCTTCTCATTCTACCTTTTTCTATCATTTCCAATAGATTTATTTTATTAATAAGCAAATCATAGTTTTATTTATAATAAAAATATAAAAAATAATAAAATATTTATAAAATAATAATGAAAACGTGAAAAAATAAAATAAAAATCAAAAAATTAAAAATAATAAAAAATTAATTAAAATTTTTTTAAAAAGTCCAATAAAATAAACTAAAATACCTAAAAAATATTTAAAAAATATGTAGATCACTGCCAACGCGTCCTCTACCTCCCAGCACCACCGACTCCGGTCGCCGGAATAAAATGCCATGTTGTGTAAAAAATGTCACATTTCTCTGAAAATGCAATAAAGATGACATTTTTACTCTTTGAAAACATCCAGCTTTCTCTTGCTTTCTCTTCAAAATTGCCATCATGATGACATTTTTCCCCAACTTGGCAATCTTTTTCGACGACCGGAGGTGGCGGTGCTTGAAGGTGGCTGAGGTGGTGGTTGGGGTCGATATATTTTTTAATTACTTTTTACGGTTTTTATTTTTTTATTTTGATTTTTTTTATATTCTATAATGATTGTTTAAAAATCCTATTATCAAAGACAAAGGAAAGGGTAGAATAGTTAGAGTTAGTCCTATTTTGGGAATTTAAACTTTAAACTCCTATTGTTGCAATTATCCTTTTATTTACTCCCATTTAGGTAAATCTCCCTAAAAATAAAATTTGAATGTATATAAACTTTTCTAGAGACTAACTAAAAACCCAAATATCTTATTTTTGTTTATAATTTTCTATTAGCTATTTTATTATATATAATTTTACTACAAAAACATTGCATTTAATAGTTATTTGAGCTATTTCTATTATCATATAATAATATCATAAAGTAGTTAATAAAGAATAATAAAACTCATATCAAACACAAATAAAATAAAATAATAAAGAAGAATATATATGCATGCGTTCTAGGTGGGCTAGGCACTAGATCGACCATGAGTCATTGTTGTACTAGCGTCTAACACCTCTTAGATCATTAGTAAAAACAAATTTGGTGAACTCCCTAGTCAATCAATAACTTTCAAAAGTAATACTTTCTCAAATTTTTATTAGTAACCTCATAACAATTTCTTCAAAAATTACTAAGAAAGTAGAGGGGTTGGGCTCCCTTTTTTTATAACCCGATAAGCAAACCACCTATCGGTGGGGTAAATGTCGGGAAATATTTATCAGATTCTATTGAAAAAGAAGAAGAAGAAGATAAATATAGATGGTGAGGGAGATGAGGCCAAAACCCAGTGGGGCTGGACTCCCTTTGCCTGGATTCTTAACTGAAAGCGTAGCTCAAATTAAATTAGATGATTTAGAATGTTTTTACTTATACTAAAATTTTCTGTTCTAATCTAGTACGGTCTGATCTAATTTAGTCTAGTTTGTTTAAATTTGGTCTAACTTGTCTGACCAAGTAAATGTCCGGTCTCTATGTAATTTACAATTGTCAGAGTATGGTCTAGTAGTCTAGTCTGTTTAAGTTTAGTCTAGTTTGTTTAAGTCTGGTTGGTTTTGACGGTGACTCAAACGTTGAAACTACTCTCGAGATTTTAAATTTGTTGAAAAATAACGAGTCAAATAAAATGAAAGAGGATGAAGGTCATGCCTGCAGCACCGGTAACAAGCACAGTCACAGGCTCCTTCTCTAATGCTTTCATGACTCCCCAAATGTCTCTTACGATCTTCCATGAAAAATAAGCACACCCCATTAGAACAACAGACTGTTGAATTGTCCCAAATTGCTCCATGCCACCAAAATATATATTATTAACCAAGTAATTATAATATAATACTATAAGACTATAAGAGGCACAACAATTCAACAAATTTCTGATATATATGATTTGATCTCCACCACTTTGTTGGATATATATGTATATTACATGATAACAAAAATATATAAGCATCATTATATTGAAGCCAAGAGAAGCATAAAGAAAAGCCCATGCAAATAGGAAACCCAAAACCAAACTCGTACGCTAATCTATAAGAGGGAGTATAGCATATCTTCTTCCGAAATAAAAGAACCCTAGCTTATCAGTACATATTAATTACAGATTCTTTATATTTGAAATTCCTATTTTGACTTTTTCTTTATTCAATTTTGACCATTGGTTATGATTATTTATAATAGTTTATCTAGCTATTCTTTAATTTTTTTAGTTGCATGCGCAATATTTTAACTTTAAGAGACATTTGTCAATTGTTTTGCTAGCTAGGTAGTAATTCTCCGGGAAGCAATCCGGCTGTTTTCGTTGATAATAGCTTCGAAACTCTCGCATGTTCAACGATTAGTCTCGCTCATTTTTGGATGATCTATTCTATGTCTGATCAGATGTGTTTTGGGCTATTGATGTTGTTGAATTGGATTAGTGATTTCTTCTATTTTAATATAAGTTTTTTTTTTCAAAAAAAAAAATTAAAATCGATTTTAACTAATCACGTAGTGTTTAAATAGCTATAATAATAATAAGATAATGATAATAAAAGTAACAAAATGTTTCTTCTCACATAGTCCCATATCATAAAATGTTTTTTCTCGGGTGATTTCCCAAAAGAGGAGTAAATAGAGTTTGAAATTCCAAAATAGGACTACTATGTTTTTATTCCCGAAATAGAACTAACATGTCAGTATTTACTGTTATCTTGTAGGCGTGACTTCCGAATAGTTGCAGTACAGTGCATTTTATATGACAATACTTATTATAATTAATGACAATATTTTTCAATCATGACCAGTGGTGGACCCAGAGATTTGTGAGAACGGGGGCACACTAGACACTAAACTTAGTCTATAATAAAAACTCCGGGTCCGAAGCGGGGCACTGGTTTTTACATTTTACCCTAAGTGCTACTAGTGAATTTTTGGGCCCGATACAGGGGCACGTGCCCCCCTAGCCCCCCCCCCCCCCTAGGTCCTCCACTGATCATGACAGTATTTTTCATACATGGCAGTAACAACTCCTATTTCGGAAAGAAAAATATAGTCCTATTTTGGAATTCCAAACTTCATTTACTCCTATTTAAGGTAATTTGCGTATGTTTTCCGATCCACGGAAAATCTTTTACATGCATCATTTGTCATTTGATTGGTGGACTAAACAAAACGTGACATAAAAAACGTTTTCTCAACAATTCATCTAATCGAAAAGGCGATTGCACCTTGAATAATTTTACTTAAAGTCATTGCATAAACAATCATTCTTGATGTACACACCCTTGTACACACCTTATACACACCATGTTTGTAAAGCTTTTTTTGTCTGTGAATCCGGTTCACAGACAATATTTTGTTTGTGCAAAACATTATCTGTGAATCGATGTTCACAGACAAAAAAAAAGCTTTCACAGACATAGGTGTGTACAAAAGTGTGTATAAGAGTGTGTACAAACATCATTTTTGTTGCACAAATAGTAATTTTAAGAAACTTTTGGAATTGAACAAGAATCTTGCATCTGATTGTGTGAAAGAACCTTGGAATCAACGCTTATCGATTCACACTTAGCTTATTAGACGCTTCCTATAAAAGGTTTAAACTTTAATTCATCTCCAAATAGAGAAAAATGTCAAATAGGTCCACCTACTTTAGGCAAAAAGTCAATTGAATCCATCTACTAATTTTTCAATCAATTGAGTCCACATTGTTTAAAAGAAGAGTCAAATCTGCCTTTTAGCCGGTAGCACGCAGGTTAGCCCGTTTCCCGCTTATGTGACATCTGACGTGGAAGATGAATAAAAATTATTAAAAAAACATCTCTCCTCGTCACTAAACCTAATAGACGTTTACACTGAATTAAAATTTAGGGAATCAGTCTTTTCTTTGTTAGAGTTTGCAGACGCTGATGGAATGACAGTCTGGTTTTCTTGAATCGCAAGTGTAAGCCGGAATTGGAAGTTACCAAACGTTTGGAACGAGAATAATTCCATGTAAGTTGGTAGGGTTGTAGGTTATGACGATTCCTTTGTTGGTTTTCTCTGTGGAGTGTCGTATGTGTCATGCTTCCTCTGATTTTGGATTTTTTGAATTATGGTTCTGTATTTGAGTATTGTAATGGGTGTTTATGAATGATTATGAACATGTATATGTTGATTGATTAATGACGATGTTGTGCCTTATTGTGGTGTTTTCTTTGCATTGTGTTCTCTTTTTTACAGAATGTCTGATAAAGTTGAGCTAATAATTCACCATGGTGGGAAATTTGTGAGTGTGCCTCAAAGTATGTACATTGGTGGAGAAGTGGGTTGTATCCCAATAGATCCGGACTTGATACGTTATCCTCATTTAATGAAGTTCTTAAAGTCTGGAAGCTATGGTAATATTAAAGGACTGTTTTTTAAAGCACTCAGTGATCCTATGGATGACCTGAAGCCCATGTTTGATGATGCATCCACAATTCAGCTGATACATATGGCTACCACTTGTGGGCAGTGTGAGATATATGTAGAGCATGATTTGGATGAGTGTGAATTGATTCTCCCTTTACCTGGACCTAATGGTGAGGACCTTATAAAAGAGGTGGAAGGAGATATACAAGGTGAAATCCAGGAAGAAGAATCAAGGCAGCCTGATGAGTTTTATGAAGTGCATATTAAGGCTGATGAATGCACATCAGAGGAACAAAGCCATGCCAGTATGGAAGAAAATGATGAACATGAACAAGAAGAAGAAAATTGTGCAAGTGATCAGGATGTGACATCTGATGAAGATACAGAAGTGGAAGACATCTTCAATGATGTGCAAGGTGGATCAGATAGAAGGAATAAAGCCCCAGAACAAAATGAACCACAAATAGATGATGTTCAATCTGGGTCAGATAGAAGGCATCAAGGACCAGAAGATAATGACCCAGAAATAGATGATGAGGATAAAGACAGTGTAGAATATGATTCTTCTAACCCAGGAAGCTACACTTATGATCAAGAAATAGATGAGAATCAGTCTACAGGGCCATACATGGTGCACAAATCCTATAACCCTGAGTCAGAACCTCCTCTAATTGAGCTGGCAATGCTTTTTGAAGATGCAAGGCAATTCAAGAATGCTATTATAAGGTATGTTGTGTTTCACAAAAGAGATGTGCGTTTTGTGAAAAATACAGCAGATTGAGTTAGGATAAAATGTGCCTCAACATGCCCTTATAATTGTACTGCTAGTTAGGAACCTAGGATGAAGTGCTTTCAAGTTAAGGTCCTTGAATCAAAACATTTATGCAATTTGAGGTTCAAGCTAAGAGTAGTCAGTGAGAAATGGATAGCTGAAAAATATGAAGAGAAGGTACTTGAAAACCCAAGCATGGGTGCAGTAGAGCTGAAGGGACTTATTAAGAGTGAGCCGAAGGGACTTACCAAATCCGTTTTGTGATTTGATTTGGTGGGACTAATTCTAAGCTCCTAAAAATTGATCCAAACTTTTGAAAGAAGTAAATTCGAGTTGCTCGAACAATCCACTATGTTTCAACGCCTATTTTTACGGATCGGGCGTCTCTCCCTTAGTTAAGCAGCCAAGGAGGGTGTCTGGTTGTTTTCCTCCGTCAGATCGGAAATTCGACGGCTGAAGATCTTGTGCTCCACCCCTTTGCCGATCTCGAGATCCTGCTCGTAGCTTCCCTGCCGTCGGATGCCGCAAGGCACTCTGCCTTGTGGCAGAGGATCCCGAGTCCTATTTTTACATATGACTTTGCAAAAGAAATTGTACTTAATCGATTGACTTAATGCATACTCATATTTCTAGCACAGCTCCCGAGAGAACCGTTACTGAGTTAAGTTCTCAAAAGAAACTAATTCTCAAATTGTCGGTTGAGGCGAGACGAAATACTGTTTACGCTACCATTCAAGCTAGCTAGCCTCAAGGCTAGAGAAGTACTACCTCCGTCCCCTAAGTTTAGGATAAAGGGGTGTGGTGTGATTTTTAAGAAAAAGTGCAATTGTGTGGTTGGTATTGAATTGATAAAGTGTGAATAAAGTAAGAATGAATTCTAACCACTCAAATATTACCAAAGTTAAAACGGGACAAAGTTAGGGGAACAGAGAGAGTATCTTTGTATTTTTATAACTATCCAAGTCTGGTCTGGTCTGGTGTGGGAGGAACTACAGTCCAAGTAAAAACATCCATAATAACGCGGTGTCAAAGTTGAAAATATTTGGAAAAATGACGTGCAACGTTTTATTCTATAGAGTGCATCTTGTGTGTATAAACGTTCATTCATGCATGTGTAAAATCTTTTATCACAACATGATAGCAATATATATACAAATTATTTTTGTATCCGGATGAACTTTTGAATCGTACAAATTCACCTATTCTACACATTGATCCACTTTTATGAGAGTATTTTTAATAGTTATGAGTCTATGGTATGGTAATAGTTATGAGTAGAAAAAAGTTAAATGAATGTGGGTGACACAAAGCTTTTCAAAAAAGAAAATGAGAACTATTTTTTGGGATGATCCAAAAACAATCGGGAACTATTTTGCAGGACAGATAAAGTATTACCCTCCACGGCTCCACCTCCCAACTGTCGCAAATATATAAGTACACTTATAAGTATTCTTAACGTCCTTTTTTTCATCATATCATTATTCATGTGGTAGATCATTAAAAATTTATTCTTTAATTTTTATACTAAACATTTTATTATATTCAAATTCAATTTTTACAATAAAATAAAATGTTAATGTAACTTCATATGTAAATGTACTGTTAGCTACAAATATTAATTTACATATCATATAAGGAGTATTAAATAATATAAATTAAGTTAACATTAAAATCTCTCAAACGTTTTAATTTAAAACCAGATAAATAAATAGGGTGGAAATGTCAAGTACCTTGTAGTCTGATGACATCACTGTGACACTCTCAAGGAAGAGGTCACAGATTCGAATCTCATC